GTTCCATAGAATAAATGTAGATTCACTACATGCTTCGAGGATTATCACAAGGATCAGAGCCACTGAAAACACAGAAGAACGCGCAAGGAAAAAGAAGGGCAGCAAAACCAGCCCGATGGGCCAAGTAGCAGAGCTACAGCCTCATCAATGGCACGATCCTTTTGCTCCCAACTTGTGGTGCAGCTTGAACCTTTTCGGCATCTCACCAGGAATGAAACATTTTCCGAGTGAGAGCCTTTGCCTGTAGCAGGGAGCAGATAAAAGCAACCGCCAATGGACCGGTGCTTTTGCCTAAAGCCCTGATGGCTTCAGCTCTAAGAATATCGAAAGACATCCGCTAGGTAGATTTAATTTAAACCAACTGATTTTCATTTGCATTTTCCAAACGAGATTCCCCTTCAATTGCATTCATTTATGCGGTGATGGGAAATGACGCATTAAAAGGAAGTCCTACTGTAACTCGTTACTTTCCTCTATGATGAATAATAAGTTACTTTTTTTTTAGAATAAATAATTCCTTAAGTATCCTTCTTATAAGCGCAATACGAATACATAAAATGCGGCGAAGGGCTCGGTTTTTCACGCCAAGTCAAGCTTAACGCTCTCTCATCACGGCGTTTCCCGAGGACGCAAATCGCAGCACAAAATTCAAGACATCTTCGGGGGGGGAAGTAACGGAAAAGTAAACTAGAAGGAATTAATTACATTTCTTAAAGTAAAAAATAACTAGCACTAGTAAGGAGTTACTTTTTGAGGAACGTAACTCGTAACTGCAAATAGTTATTCCGAAAAGTAATTTCGCCGATGGAATCCAATTATGAAATGAAATAAAGTGAATTTGGTTGCCATAAGCTGAATCTACACGGTGCCTCACACCCTAACATTCTAACACCCTAACAGAAATAGCAAACACCTGATGCAATATTCTTGCAGATGCTTGCGAAGAGAAATGAAGACACATGAGAAATGACGATCATTCGTCGCTCAAGGCGAATTGCATGAGAATCATGACGTAGCTGATGATTTCTCCGACGACCAGGACTAGAGGACGTTTACCGAGGATGTAGAAATCTCCGATGGAGGCTTCCATTGGTCTCATGGCGAGGACCAGCCGGTCCCCTTCTCGTTGCCGGAAGTCCTCTGCTTTTCCAGACCTGCTGATGATGAATTTGCGGAGTTTCCCCTCTTCCGCTTCCAGTTTGTCGCTTGCGCTGTTCACAGTGGACATAGTGGTAAGGCCCTGAATAACCGAAATGGAGGTGGTAATGGCGACTGCCAAGGATAATGGATCTAGACTCATTTTACGAGCGATGAGCCACAAGAAGAATACGGCCGCAGACAGGGAAACATTCATGAGGAAATGGGGGAATGCGACCAAATTGCCGACAGAAGAATTGGCCATCTTCACCAAGTCTCGAAGCTTGAGATATTCTTCATAGAGGACAGTCGGATCATTGGAATGGATAGCTTTCATGGGTTCCTCTGAGAGTTCCTGCATGCACCTCCGCAGAGTATCGAATATAGCATGGTGCAAGATAACTGGGCCGATATATGCGGTCATAGCAATGACGGCAAACAAACATTCTCGGATACAGCTCCAGAAGGAAGGCCAACTCCAACCATTTCTGTTCTCAGTGAGGGTGGAGGCAAGCACTGCGTATATGAGAGAATTGGAGACGCTAAGGACGAAACCCAAAATCGCCCATGGATTCGTCACAAGAAATTTTACCCGATGCTCAGACATGCGCTCGAACAGCGAGATGAATCGGTTTCTCATCAATATCGCCATGAGCGGCACAGAGAACATCATGACGCAAAGGCAGAGATAAAGCACCACCGAACAGACGTTGCCCGTGTTGCCGAGATCGACCAACGCGGCCGACTCCCCCGTCTTGATCTTGGCTGCGACAAACGGTATTTGGATCGCACTCGTGATTGCCACCAAGATCGAAGGCAAGATCCACGGGAAGGCACTGGGAGATCCGAAAACGATGCCGCCAGAAAACGGAGCAACCCCACAGGCGAGCAGATGCACGAAGAAAACCCGCGTCTTGAGATCCACCTTCAGCATGATGCCAGATGGGGAATAACGAGGCAAGAAAAAGCGGTATCACGATGGGACACCAGCTGCCGCTCCTCGACCGGCATACAATGCAATGACGTGTTCAACCATGTTTCTACCCTATCACAATTTTTATTTTATGGTGTTTACCTTGGCCAAGATTAATTATGCAGTTCCCCCATTGTCCTCATCCATGAAATAGGGGCGAGGCCGGAGGGGGGGGCTCATGACAGCTACCCCTTATCGGTATCGACTCCCCCGCCCCCCGCCCCCTGCCCCCCCGCCCCCCCGACATCGACTCCGCGAACTATTTTTGCCCTTCTGCATTTCCTCTTCGCCATCACGGTTTATCGGGAAGGGCGAGACTCTCGACGAGGACCCACTCATTAAGTCGCGTTAACGCATCAGAGACCCGAACGCAACCGCACTTAACGGCTCGTAGGAGGGGAAGGAATGGGAGACACTGACAGGCGATGAATAAATCATATATGTCCAATATGTATGAGCATGCATGCCACCCTGTCTATGAAATTAATGATTCCGGGAGAGGGGTGGGGTGACCCACTACACTTTCTCATAAATAATTCAAGTCCTTGCTAATTTCTTTCTGCAGCTTGCAGACTACCAAGAAATGGTTGATTTTAGCGGAGAAGGTTTCGGGAAACAGCTGTGAATAATCTTGTCATTCCCCTGACATCTATTGAAATTTAGAAGGGGAATGTGCAAAAAATCCCCTTAAAAAAAGGAAGAGTCCATCCTCCAGTAAATTTGGGTCTGAGGTTACTGGAGGCCAGGTCGCTGTTATTACGTTATTTGCCTAGATATGTTCTATCTAGATTTTCACGTGGTAGTTTCCGACCTGTGCGACAGGTGGCAGCACTGAAGCCATTCCCAAATGGCGACCCCTCGAGTGTTTTCACCAAAATTGAGCATAGGGGCAGCGATTTGTATTTTGCGGTCAGAAGGCTTGAGACAGGGACGTCATTTGGCAAAACTGCAAGGAGGGGGCAAAAACTCCATGAAACTTGAAAATATGCTCTTCAATAAATTTTTAGCGCTTGTTTTAATTTCGCGAATTTAACAAAGCGCAATGAATTGCGAAATCAAGTTTCTCGTGAATTTGCATTCCGAATGCGCTAATGGCCAAATCATGGGAGTAGTCCAGTTCTTGAAATTCAAAATTCATGAAACCATAAAAAGTCCATTTTTTTTATTTCGCGGAATTAAATCGGCACCACAAACCTTCGTTCCACTGCAATATAAAGTTTCCAACAAGAAGAATACTTTTGAATGAATGAAAAATGACCCATGGATCAGAAGCATGACATTTCTCAAATGGAAGTCCATGAGGCATAAAGCGAATTCACAGTTCAGGTTTAGGCTGCAAAGCCAATTGTTTTAATTTCCACGGAACCAAAGGAGTTTACGGCAGCAGCGGGTAGCGACGAATTTTCTTTTAAGCGAATTCATTAATCACTTCGTCCATGTTTACTCCCTTCACATCTTCTTTTAGAGCTGCCAACAAGAAAAGATCACAGCGAGACCGCAAGCAACTTTTTACTCTCTTCGTGGTGGAAAACAGTCTCATTTTGAGCGGTTGTCACAGGCCACGCGAGGTCAATTAGTCAATTCGAGAGAATCAATTTTGCACTTTGGGTAGTGATGGAGCAGGATGCAAGCATTTTCTTCATTTAAAAAGTTTGGCGATCGCGGATCAAAGACAGAAAGGGCTCCTAATATTTCGCCGTTTTGCTCAAACCTCCTATCTGTCTCTGCAACAAATGAATGAAGCAAATGTTTATCCGCGACCTAGAATAAAAGCATGACTAACGAGAGAGCCACATTATTACATTTTCGGCAAAATTTCTAAGCAATATGGGGTGCCTCCAAGAAGACTGACAAATTTGAAATAAGATACGAATTCTTGTATACTGAATTTCCGCATTTTTACTGGTTATACTGTACTTCAAGGCTTGGAATGTAGTCTGCCACGGACGAAAATTGTGGAACTGTTTTTCACAACGGGTTTCATTGTGCACTTGCAGGGTAGGGAGGGGGGGGGCTTTAAGGCGCGAGGATACAACTGTCCATGGAGGATATTCGGAAAACATCATTTTCAAAAATGGAATGATTGAAAATAAAAAATATTACTTGCCCCACAAATAACCAATGTCTGTGCTATCTGATGTACGCGTTATCTGTATTATTTATCGACAAATAATCATACCACACTGAAATAAAATGTGTCAGTCTTCTCTGAGACACTCTGTATTATCAAGACTTTGCGGTCTGAGCATTAGGCTCAGATGTCTGAATGCATTTTGCATTAGCCAATTCCGAGCTATGTAGTCGAAAGTTTATAGGCCCCTGAGATAAGCTTATCAAACGTCAAGGAGCTCATTCACTTCACAACACGAAAAAATTTTCAGATAGAGCCGAACCACCGACACTGGGCTAGACCAACTTGAAGTGATGACTGTTACAGAGCACTATGGGAAATAGCTGGGCACTAGTTCCAACGCGTCCCACAAGGTTAACAAAGACAAGCGCTAAGGGGCTTGGGGGAACTTTCACCTGGAATTCCTCGAATTTCATCCTTGAGCCTCATTGCTTTTCCCCGAATATCCTCCTATCTTGCTTGCGGAAGAGTCCTTTCCAATGAGCTTATGATAAAAATCAGGATTTATCTTCTTTTCCCTTCTCTCAAGTTGTCGGTCGAAAAAATAAAGTCGGGAAAAAAAAAAAATCACTTCAAGACACAATTGCCCCCCCTTAATGACGTCCCTGGTGAGTTCCAAACAATCTTGGCAGAAATAAATGATTCCTAACATTTGTTACACCTTGTATATCTATCTCACTTGCATGAAGGATTTCACACAATGTAATAGCAATGCAAAAGAAGGCTGAGAAGCAAGGGTGGAATCAAGAAATGGCTCAAGCCAGTGTTTTATTCCATGATACATCCAACACAACAGGAAGATAAGAAGGATATCCAGTCACGTATTTATCATCTTTTTTCCCTAAAAAGATGAGAAACTGAAGTAACCTTATGATATTGGAAGAATGAAAGGAGAGAAGGGAAAGTAAAAGGAGTTCATGAAGAAAGGTCATGGGCAAGCTGATGGTACCGCAGCTGAAGTTCCTTTTCCCTCTCTTCCTGTCTTGCTACATCGTCTCTCAAGCTCTGAAACAACAATCAGTCAGGAAACCCATCAACACCTCATGAATTTCATGAATGCTGGATCTTGTATAATTGTTTTTATAAAAATTTTAACACATTGACTGCCATGTCATCCACATGTGGCTGACAGCCATAGCATGCCACAAACCCTGGCAGTCAATGTGTTAAACTTCCACTAGCCACCAATTGATCTAAGAAAAGATTTCATTATCACTCATGCTTAATGCTGAAGAATTTGCAGCTACAAATGGTCATGAAAGTAGGACACATAGTTGAATTCCAATTGCCACACTTTCTTTTGCTTAATGGTGTGCAAGGTAAAAAAAAAAACCTCAAGCATGCATACCGAGAGACGACGAGGGATGGCTTTCTCTTCCATTTCCTGCAAGAAGGCAAAGGTAGACCATTCCAGCTGGGCCTGCTCAGTTTGCTCATACAGGTCTTGCAACTGCTTCATCAACCCCTGTGCTCGAGACTGCAATAACCACATTCACCCATTGAAATAAACTCAATTCAGGCCTTCTTTTATTTCATGGAATGCAACATGATTCAGGGATAATGAAGCAGCCCTGTTTCTTAGTGCTGTTCTTCAACCTATGAAGGTCATGCAGGTAATGGTAAAAATATTCCCATCCTGTCGCATTTTTTTGGGGCACCTCACTAAAAACATCCTGAAAATATAGTTGGGATCAGGGGCTCACCTGATAGCCAGCAGTGAGGATTTTGAGTTTCTTTTCCATTTTAGCAGCCCTCTTAGCTTCACGCATCATGTGCTGGCGATTCTGCTCAAGGCGCTTCTCCAGGCTCTCAATACGGTCCTTCTTACTGGCCAAGTTTGCTCGTGTGTATCTCCCTTGTGCTGGCAAGAACAGGACCTGGGAAAGAGATACTTAGATATAAGGGCAAAAGGCATGAATCATGATGATCAATGTCAAGAAGGAAAAGCCATCAGGGGCATCCTGCTTCACTTAAAATGACAATGCAGGAAATTATGACAACTTTTCTATGGTGTTAATGTACATGGGATCATGATGGATATGAATCAAATGCAATGGAAGCAATTTAGACACATGATTGGGGAAATGAAGTTTAAGAGAGAAATTCAAGAGGAACCTGAGAAAGGCATTCCTCCCAGACTTGACTGTAAGCCTCAATTGAGAGATCACCATGTGCCATGGCCTGCTTCACAACTTGCATTTCACTTGCAAGCATTCCCTTTGCTTCTTCCAGTTCCTAAGCATTCAAGGGAAAAATCACCATGGAGCATAAAATGAGGTCCTACAAAAAAAAGCAAAGGACACACTGAGGTATGGTACCTCATCATCAAATTGCTGATAGGGGTTCTTTTCCAAGTATGTGAGATGAGCAGTTAGATTCCCAGCTGCCTGTGATGCAGACTTCTTCTTCCCAATCTGGGGATCCAAGGGAGATTTTAGGGCATCATAATGAAGCATTGTAGTTATCTCCTTCTTGATCAGCTCCTCAGCCTATCCAAGGAAGAAAGGCATGAAGGTTCACATGATTCTCTTGGGTACATGGTCTGGACTATGCATGCTTCAACTGATCAGTATTTTACTTGGAGAAAGCAGGCCTACAGAGATTAGCAGTACCTTTAGAGCTCCTCCTGTGTACAACACAGGAGGAACTCTAAAAGTACTGCTACCGTGCTACCTTTATTAACCAGCCTGTTGTAAAATGAAGCACAAAATCTCCAGCATGCAAGTATGAGAAACATGTTACTAACTACTTCACTAATCTATCCCATATAAAACCACTACAATGCACTTGCAAGAAATATGTAGTCAAGGATTCACCTCATTTCATAGGATGCAGTGACCAGGCAAACCCTGGGTATCCTCCCTTCCCTCTCTCACTACAGTTTATCCAAGTTAATTATGTGACTAACAGCAGAATGAATTAATATTAAGTGAGCCCCATGGTCAGATTCAACAGACTGGCTTTTCTGAAAATGTTGCCAGTATCAGGATACTACACTTCATGGCTCTCCCATGGAATGGGAATAAATCTTAACATTTTTGGCTAGCCAAAAACAAAAGAACAAGCAGGTTGAGTCCAGTCCAATAGTAGGCCTTCTTTCAATAAAAAAAAGTCCTCACTTCATTACCTCATAGACCAAAACATTGTTGCATTCTGAATAGGAAGTGCCACAATCCATTCCTTAATCAAAGGTTTACAACAAAAGAAAAATTAATCATCAGTGTTCGTGCTTACTTTGATCACCCCAAACAAATGGTTTCTTTTTTATTCTTTTTAAAAGGATGCTTATGAAAAAAAATAGCATGAAAGCCATGATTGATTACTGTTTGGGAGGAAAGTAGATTGCAAGATAAACAAAGGGGACAGAGAACTAGCCTAATGTAGGAAAGGAAGTTGATCCACCACATTCATTACCCAACTTCATCTGCATTCAATTGGACAGGTACAATTTTCATGCTAACTCAATTTTGAAACCATATTTTTGAAAAAAAGGGCCCCAGGCATGTTAAGATATTTTAAAATTCTTTCCAACCCATCTTTTACCCATGCACTTTTTAAATAACTAGAAAAGAAGAAATGAGCAAACCTTTTGAAGATCTGAGAGGTTTGCCTCTTGTGATGTGGGACGAAGGATAGTAAGATTGACCTCTGTTGGTCGAGGCAAGTTTCGCTGTATTGCTTGAGATCGACGCTTCCACTCTGCTTCCCCTGTCATGCAATAAAACACACTTCTGTAGCAGATTTGAATAGGTATGCTTTCTTGGATCTGAACAGCATAATTTCCCCTCTGTCCCATCACTGACCACATATCATCTACCCAGTTCAAGACCATCAAAAACCTCAAAAAATTTAATTTTGAGATAAAGCATTTTGAACTTTTTATTCAACATTAAGAAATTTGTCTTACAGGAAAAGGCTCACTGCCAATATATAGGCTAGTTTCAAGTGTTAGCTAGATCACTATATACACATCTGATCAGTTGTGTCATCACTGCAGTTGTTAACTATCATATTGTAAAGAAATGTATTGAAAATTTCAACTTGTGATGGTCTTGAACTGGGAAAGCAATATGGTGAGCTACCAGTGGAAAAATGAATTGAATTTGGAATTCCTAAAGGAATTGAATAGCATTCAACTGCAGAGAGCATACTTGGGATCTGACAGGAGAGATTTAGGACTTGATGGAAGAAAGATTAAAGTTAAATTGAATAACCCAAAGTTTTGATCAAGTAATTTAAATTCATTACAAACTACTGCATTAGCGATTCCCAAGCTTCTGGGTACCCTTTGCCTCCAGGGTGCACATGTAGCATTCCACCACTTGTTCCACATATGCATATCCCACAAAGTATATACAACTAGTGCTTCATTCTGCACGTTTTTTTAAATTTGTACGCATGGAAACTTCTGGCATACAACCTGGCATTGCCTCACATACCACCAGTGGTATATATATCACAGTTTAGGAACAGCGGTAGTATATCTTTACCTTGAAAAATTATTCTTTGGAGTTTATCTAAGTCCAGGTAAAACTTTCATGAACGTCATCATTCTAATATCCCCATTCTTAAATATGCAAACAGATGCTCATAGAAGGAGACCAGGGTTCAGGGTAGCATGAATGGTATGGATTTTGGCAAGAACAGAGAAATCTAGTGTATATACACAGCATCATGGGCTGCCTGAAAAAGGAAAAGTTCAACAGTACAAGTCCAACTGTCACATAACCATAGACCTAAATGGAGGTAACCTGAGGAATGACTTGATTTCATAGAATCAAAGGAAATAATTCCAGTACATCACTGCTCTGTCATGGATTTTCAAGGGAATGGGTAATAAGGGTATAAGAGGGAGGGTAACAGACTTTGAGCTCTCTGCTGGGCTTCCTTTCGGGCATCAATGTCACTTTGGTCCTCAATCCATTCACCTCCGTGTTCTTCCTCTAATCCCTTCTCTTCTCCACCAGCTGATTCTTCCTCTGGGACTACAATCTCATAATCATTCTTTGGGGCTGGCAAAGAACTCAATCCTTTTCTCAGCTCTGCCTTCATCTATGTCATGGAAATACCCAAAACATCATTTTTAAAAACCACACACCTCAATTTTATATGCCAATGCCCAAAGAGTAAAGAAATCTTCCAACCAACAGAACTCCAGGCAGTAAAAAGTTCTAAGGGCACTCCTCTATGCATGGGCCTTTGTACATCATGCCCTTCTAGTGTTTTGACCAGTTCTCAGAAATGTAGTTAAGGGTAATTAAGAATAAGGACCTTAACATCTAAACATGGAATCTCATCAGCAGGTCAGTGAGCTCTCATACTATTTTATGAAAAAAAAAACCCAAATGATGGGAATACAAAATACAGGGTGGTCCACGAATTGTTTTAAATGATAATAAAAAACAACTATTTTATTTTATGATAGTTAAAATTGCACTAAATTTACAACAATGAAACTTTAACTAACTTGAGGAATATGGTTAGGAATTGAATTTTTATCTTTCATTTAATACAAACATGCCTTTTTTACTTGTGGATTAAGATGACCACCATTAACACACTCTCTGTAATTTAGCAAAGCATTGTTCATAGTTTCTGTCAGTATTTGTATGTTAATTCCTCTGATGAACTGCAGAATGCTTCTTTTTCAACTCGTCTGCATTTTGAGGTCTAGTTTGGTAAACATCACAATGTCCTCACAAAAAGAAATGTGGGGCAGATAAGTTCAGTGATCATGCAGGCCAATAAATTTCACAATTCTCTAAATAAGCCTTGGGTCAAAATGTTGTGGCAGCAATTCCATTATGCCTTTTACAATAGGACATGTTGCCCTGTCTTGTTGGAATCATGTAGTGTCTGAATATCTTTTCTTCTATGAAGTTCTGACAGAAATGGGACTTGGGTCAAAATTTTGGCCCAAGGCTTCTTTCAAGGAATTGTGACATTTCCTGTCCTGTAAGATCACCCAACATAACTGCCTAAGATTCTTTTTTGTAGGGGTATTATAAGAGTTTACCAATGTAGACCTCAAAATGCAGAAGAGTTGAAAAGAAGCATCCTGCAGTTCAGCAGAGGGATTAGCATGAAAACACTAACAGAAAAAATGAACAATGCCTTTGCTAAGTTACAGAGAGTTTAACAGAAGTGGCAGTCATCTTAATCAAATAAATTTCTGCAAGTAAAAATAGCATATTTGTATTAAATGAAATGTAAAAACGAAATTCAAAACTCTATTCATCATGTTAGTTTAAGTTTCACTTTTGTAAATAGAGAGTAATTTCAATCACTATCAAATAAAATTGTTGCAAAATTTATAGTCCACCCTGTAGGATGATATCCAATGGTATGGGAGGCATAGTGTCTCTCACAAGGAGGAAAAATTATTACAGACTTTTCCCCATTACACCATACTAGGTTACATACAGAATTGTTCTGCTTGTAGCATACAAATTTTCAATAGAAAATCAAGGAAAAAATGTCTGCCATGTCACCTTTAGTGGGTTGAGGCCCAAAGAGTAAGGAGCTGCATGAACCTAAAATCTATAGCCCTGAAGGCTTGGAAAAGCCTGTTCTCTTCTTATCATGCTCAGTAGGTAGAGCAACATCATTGTAATTGGCCATTATGAATTCCCATGCAGTGAGATCAATGCTTTTTAAAAGAAAGACAACAAAAAACACAGAAAATACATCACGAAGGCATCAGGTTACCTTCCTCACTTCAAGATGTTGATCAGTGGATCTTATAAAGAGCTTAAGAATAGGAGGTACTTTCAGATAAGTAAGTTCTGGCACACACATGAGACAATGGTTGTGGCATGAGAAAGGGATGCAAGGTCACCTTTATGAGACACTGAATCAAGTGCAATAGGAGTAATGAACAAAGCAAATAGTGCATCACATTTTATTTGGAAAATTGAGGTATAGCGATCAAACTCTGTATAAGGGTAGGAGATATGTGCTAGACATGTTCAATAATTTGGCTTAAGCATTTGCATTAGCAGCATGGGTAAAGGGAAACAAAAAAAGCCATCAACTTAGCAATAACTATAATTTATCAGTTTGAGTAATTAAAGTTTTACTGTCGGCATATAGTGTTTCTCAAAGATATGCAGTGAGACAGCAGGAGGATTTAGCAAAAATTTCCTGTTACTTCAAGTAGAAGCCTCCTTAGGATAGAAACCAGGAGAATACTCATCCCAATAAAGCGTAGAATGGGCCTGCAAAATGCTCTCACAATGCATCTGCAATCATGTATTCAATCAAGGCAAAATATAAAGCACACCTGCTAACTTTGAATCATACTTAGTATGGACACAGCTGTTGTGAGTTAGAGATACAGGCAGACCTCTCTATTCAGCATCTATTGTTGTATGCTGACAAAAGGAACTGGTCAAGACTTTCTGAGGAGGCTATGCAGGAGCAAAAGCACATTTGCTGCTATCCCTTTATCTGTATTCTCAAGAAAAACTATATCTTCACCAAAATACACAATATAGGTTCAATTAGTAAAAAGAAATTACCTCAAAATATCTATGGAAGTTTTCAAGTTCTGGTAGCAACTTTATGGAAATTAGACTACACTCACTTCTTTTTGAAAATTTTTCATGCCAAAGCGGTCAGTGGGAGCATCAAAGGTATCTTCAGGATTGATGTTGAGACGATCACGGAGAGGAGTTTGCATGGGAGTCCCCAAGGGCATTTGCTTTCCAAGTCCAGGTGTCTGCATCCCTGGAGTTGCACCACCTGTCAAGAATATCACGGAATCCATAACCCTCCTCGGATACTTAAAAACATTATAGCCACATTCATGCACTGAATGATATAGGAAGTGGGAGAGTGCTTCACTCATGCAGCAGTTCCCAGCAGCAAGTTCCCTTTTACATAGTTTCTTACATTATGGGTGTCAATTTGCCAAATAGGGACCAAAGGATGACAAGAAACACTTTCTTGAATATTTCATTGATAGACACAGCTTATTTGCAATATAGCTGATTTTCACACAAGAGAATATTGCGATGATGTAAGGAAAGGGCAAGCAGCCTTCTGCTCCACTCCAAGAATGTCATAGCTATGTATCAAACAATGCAGTAGCAGACAATTGAATGTAATCTTTCTGGCAAAAAGGACGGTAGCAATCAATAACCGAACATATCCCATGTGTTAGGCATAGAAAGAACAGGAAGGGATACTGGGAGAAACTCACTCTTGTCCAAAGGTGTACGGAATGGAGTACTCAACACAATATTAGGGGTCTGGATGTTCTCACGTTGAGGAGTGATGCCAGAAAAATCACTTTCCACCAAAGGGGTGTTCAATCCTCCCTTGAGGGGAGTGTCCACATTTGTCAATGCTATGATGTTTTGTGCCTCCTGTAATAGATCATGACAGAAAGAACCTCATTTATTCAAGTTCAAGTACAACTAGAAAACTGTCATTTGAAAAACTGTATAAATGAGTGAGTGAACTACTTGTCTTACAATCTATAAGAAAATTCACAAGATTGACATAAACCTAGATTTGCTCAAATGAACAGCAGCAAGACAAAGCTCATATATACCTAGCTTTTCTCTAATACACTAGTGGTATCATACAAATTTCTTCTTGAAAATTCTCTACATGGGCATTCCAGCCCAAATCAACCAGAGGGTGAGCTCAACCATCTCCAAATTGGATTATAGTGACAGAGATGTAGAGATCCATAACCTTTCAGCTTCTACTTTTAAGACAGGGAGCAGCCACGCTACCAACTTTTTGTTGGTTTCAGATAAGTTCATATTGAATATTTTGCTATTTTAAAGTCATTTTTTGATTTTGTGAAATAATAGCCTAAATTATTTATCATGAAAGTGATACTTATCACAAAAATTAACACAACTAAATGCAAGTTGTCTGACATCAATCTCCTAGATGGCGGGTTCTGATGACACCCTTGAGTATTATGAAGATAGGGCATATCATCCTATCCTGAGCCACACCAACTCACTTGAACTATTCAAAACCTATTCCCTTACTCCATCTTGACCATGAGCATGACCTAAGAAATGTATAGGTCTGGTTGAGTGAGAAGTAATGTGAATTTCTTCCAAGAAATATTAACATTTTTCTTAAAGATATTGATTCCAGGCAATTTTGAATCTAACCTAGGAGGGTGATAGTTTCATGTCTGCAGGCACTACATTTTTCAACCTTGTAGCAGGGGCAATGAGTGATTTATACTCATAGTCGACTCACACTTAACACTTAATCAACAACTGAAATGGGATTATATTTTCCTGCAAATCTGGTAGGCTATATGATGGTGTGACAACCTGGCTGGAATACAATTTTAAACTTTTCAATACCAAGTCTTATTTTTTTATAAGCTAAGAGTGGTGATTAACCCCTCAAGCTGGTATTTAAATTGCAGGAGTATTTTCCTTTGACTTTTATGTCAAGAGATGTCAAGACCATATTAGACATGAAGTTTGAAGTCTCTATAATTGAACAATGCTAACAGTTCTAAAATCGAACCCCAAGAGATGGCAGAGAATTTATGATTACAACAAACCTTACACTCTGCAAACCCCCTGTGGTGAAGAAAAAGTTGTGTTTACAGTGTATAGGCTAAAGAAGCAAACTGGTCTGAGGAATCAATACACAGTTTACTCCATGGGATGTATTCTCCAATCTTTAAAATAGGTATTTTGCTCATCTTCTATACTGAATATTGTTAATTCTTCTTATTATTTCATTATGTACAGCTAACATTTTAACATTAACAGCTGCTATAGCACCCCAAATTACCTGATAGTAGTTAACTTGCCACTACATTGTAATTGCATGATGCACATTTAATGAACTGCACCAATGCCAAAATATGGGCCGACCCTTCATTTGAAACATGTATTTTTTCAAAATCACTAATGCAACCTTCATTCAGAATTCTGAACCCTGTACCAAACCATATTAGGTTCAAAAGAAGCTCCAAGCACCCTTTTGTAGTTCCACTAAAGCTACTCTCAGAAATCACAGTCTAGCATTTCTGGTAGGGAATAACCTGATGCTAGAGGTCTATACATTGCTATTCTTTTGAGTTCCAGACTGTCATGAATCCCCCTCCAACAAATTCTGACTATTGGCTTTATTTCTTGAAAACCAGAAGCAAATATTGAAACTAGTTAGCAAAATAATCCTGAATGTCTTCCTCATCCCTGAATCAACAGAAGCAACAAAAAGCACTAAAATCATCCAATGCATGATCCTACAGCAAAAATGCAGTTTCTCTCACCTATATAGACATTTGCAGCTTACTACTGGTTGAACTGATAACTGCTGTCAAGTGTGGAAAAACAAAAATGCCACATAAAAAGCATCCTCTTTTTTGGCTTCTTTGCTGGGGATTTATGGGTTGCCTGTGAGGCTTCCAAAGGCATCCCCATTTCATATTATGGTTTAAATGGAGGTAATACAGAAGTCAGTAGTAATCAAGACAAGTAGTAACAATGGGGCAACCTTTCATTTTGCTTTCCAGCGATATATGAATGCCAGTATCCGATCAGCTAATATTTTTCTTGAATGCGGTCCTCCTCCTGACAAACATGGCATCCACCAAGAAAGGCAGAATGGTTGCAACAGACAAAATAAGAAATTTAGTGTTCAGTTGTGAGTCTAGTGGTGAATTGAGTGATAAAGATAGATGTAGCAATGCTGAAATTTCTGAGTTATCTGGTGAAGATAAGGTGAGTACAAGTACACCTGCAGCTAAGAAGTGAAATGAATGATCTGGTATGGAAAGGAAAATAATAATGAACTTATCTGCAAAGTCTCCTCCACAAATAATGTTGAAAATACTGTCATTGGAGCCACATAAGTATGCTTATTCTTACAGTCTGTGGTCTATAATAAAAAAAAACACCCTAGCAGTGGAGGCTTATATCTTACAAACCCACCTGTCAAAGGGTTAAAGAAGAGGTATTGAATGGCCTGCTGACCTGGAGGATGCGATCAGTCTGAGCAGCAGGAGTGCGAGCTGTGCGAGCCACAAGGTCAAGGCCAGGAGTAGCAGAACTATAGTCACTGAGTAGGGCATTAGAGGCCATCCCTTCATCAACATCTCCTCCAGCTTCTCGGGCAACTTCTGATGCTGCCTTCCCCAATTTCACAACCTGTTCCAGTTCCTGTGATCAAGGCAAAAAGATAGAAGCAACATATATTAATACAGGCCATCTTCAACTGAACAAGTTAATTCCAGCAAAAGAATCACTATCATCCCCAAGAATCCCTTCATACTACAGTCAAGGTATCTCAGTCAAGATTAGTTCCTCAGCTAGGCCAAATACAGGGTGGACATTAAGTCACTTGAGCATTCAAATGAAATTTGCAATATGCAGAAATTTCAGTAGTTACTTCTTTTTCCATCTGTTTCAGATAGAATGACAGAATGTAATGACAAAGCTATAGTCAAGAAAATGACCAGATGCAAAAAGCACTCATGAGGAAGTAAATGTTAAAATCTGACTGTGTGGTCTAGAATTTCATAGAAAACTTCATCTTTACTTTATTTGCGGTGGACTTTAGATAGAAATTGCCATTTGGTAGCTGTCATTAATTTCAACTTGGCCATCCAGAGAATTATAACTTAATCCATTCATCCAAGGTCAGCATGCAAAAGCTTTCTTCAATTTGGAACAAATGTGGATTTGTGAATTTACTATATCAAATACAATTTTCAGAATGACAATAGGGTATGTCATAAATTTACAGTATTTTCTTAAATACCCAAGAGACTTCACCTCCACCCATGTATGCTCTCTTGAAATGGATTCGTGTATAAGTGATGTTCACTTGATCAGATATCTGTGGTTGGGGGAGAACAAGTTTGGAGCGCTTGGGAACAGGATGGCCTCCTTGAAGCATGGATGTGGGAATCCCATCTTCTTTACGTTTCTTCAACTTTTCTCTATCTTTACGCTTCTCTCGGGCTTCTTTCTCTGAACGAAGTTCTCCATCAAGAGACTGCTGCCGCAAACGCTTGAAGTCTGGGTCCATGGGATCAAATGCCTCCTGACTTGTGTCATAAAACCCTAGAGTTGGCTTCTTCTCAAATGGAATCTCTCTATTGTAGTCCACTCCACGTTTCCTCCTCCTCCTTTATAGAACAACAAGTGAAAAAATTAAACTCACATTCCTCAATTGGTCAAAAAACTTGATAGAAAGCTTTCTATGGAGGGAATAGAAACAATAGTAAACTAAGGATAAATGAAATAGAGAATGATAAGCTTTTAACTACTATACATATCTGCAAAATTTATTGCAGAAAGATTTAAAAGAAAGAAAAACTTGCAATACTACAAGTTCCCATGGGTTTTATGCAAATTTTTATCCATCCCTCATGGGAATGATTTATGCAATGATCTCATCAAGTATGCATCACACGTTTGAAGTGTACTAATATTCTCGATACTTCAGCAGGGGAACCAAACAAATCACCTGACTGAGCCTCAGAGCAACAGTACACAAGTTGACATCAAGTCTCGAGTAGGTCAACATGATTTCACATAGAAGGAAATATGAGACTGATCATGTCTGCCATAAAACACCAATTTCATACACCTTGAAAATAAAATTTTTTCCAGATTAGCTGTGCAGGAAAAATGAAGATTGGCACACCCACTTAACTATGTACAGCTATTGTCAGATACCCTGGTACAAGCCAATGGTTCTAGGGTTACAATTAGTGGAATGACCATAGGAGGAATCACAGTACAGCTAGAGGGGAGCCTGAATTTGGTCAGGATGTCCACACCCTCCAAAGTAGCAGAGGCTCCACATTCTAAACATGTCTCTCTCCTAAAATTGCTGGATGCTACTAGATTGTTTTCTTGAGCTTCCCAGGCAGTTTCACCTCCCTCTACCCCCCTGGATTCCACCACATAACTAGGCATTCCCAACACTCTACTCCCTATCAATGCTTTCTATTCCCAGAAACTCTTCCAGGCTATGCCTCTCCAACCTTAGGTTGCACAAACCTTAGTTTCACTGTATCCTTCATGCACTGAATAGATATTATAAGTGCTATATTTGAAACCGAATGCGAGACCTGTAAGGGACATTGATGCCAGCAGCTCGCAGTTCTCGTCTCTTTTGAAGAGCAGCAAGACGACGAGCCTCTTCTAGCTGCTTCTCTCTGGCTTTGCGTTTCGCCTTCTTCCCTTGTGTGTTAGCTAAACGGGCTCTCGCCTCTGAAAGCATCTCCAGTTCATCTTCATCCATGTCTTTTGGATCAGGACGAGCTGGCTTAGTCTCTGGATTTGGATCTATTTCACCTGGCTTCAACTTTCTTGGGTCATCTCCTCCATCCTCACCTTCTTCTTTCTTCTGGGCCTGATCCCTACAAACAAATAAGTTAGGAGTTTCAAATAGAGTGAAAGCACTTTTAAATGCAGTACTCATACATAGAGGTATTGACCAAAATGTTCTTAACCCTTTCCCTGGCATTGATATATATTTATGTCCAGGAGACACCAATGGCTCCTCCATTGACACCTCCAGGAGGTTGGAGATTTAAAATGTCTATCTACCAGGGAAAGCATCAAGAATGAATGTGGTCATTCACCAACTAGGTTTCAAGGGGGACAATCCAGTAAAACACTGATAGGAAGCACAAATCATCGGAGAAAGAAGGTTAACATTTAGCATTCTTCTGTACTCTTGAGGCATGATGAGCCTGTGGAAAAAGCCTCCCATGACCTAAGCATCTGACATATGGTCCTTCCTGAAGAATTTCAGGAATGATATGATAAACAGTTTCAAAATGGAGGGAAATCAAACATGGTTTTAATTTTGATTGGCTCCTGGTGTTTATCTGTCTCTGTAGATGGAGAAGAATGAATGCTAGTTCCTTCCTCAATTTACACCTAATACATGGCCATGTTCTTGGATCACTAAAATTTTCAGGTCTAGTTATCTCATTACAACTCAAGATATTAGAACCATCCCCAGAATACTTTTTAAAAAGCAAGAATTTCTTCAGTTCAAGAAAGCAAGATATTAGAGATGTCACGTGCAACATATGAAAAGCATTGAACTACTGGGGTAGAAAAATAGGAAGAGGAATCATAAGCTAATTTTCTTTGCTCTATCTACCTCTACCTCAATGTCAAGGTTACCAGACTGATAGACTGAACATTTCATCATGCTTGGCCTGTACGCCTGCTTTTGAGCTAATAAGGCAAAAGACTACCATAGAAAGGATGAACATTTTTTCATTAGCTATTTTACCAATGAATTTATATGGTACTTTAGAATCATTACAAGGACTCAACAACTTGATGCCTCTTCTTATTGTCTAAAACCAAGTTATTTGCTCAGATCAAACAATTCCACTTATGCTTCCATCTTCTATGGGACAAGGTCTCTCATTAGTTAAGGGCTGAAATTTTGATTATGTTCTCTTGTTTCTGAACTTTGGGCATGACTGTCACAAGTACAAGGAAATTAGACTTTCAATTTAGTAAGCATTTGATGACATCAAAGTAAAAAGGAGCACCTTGGCCCAAATTAAGTCACATTCTTTGCTCACAGAAGGTATTCATAGTGCTCCAAGCATTGTGCTGCTGTGCGACCAATGATGGGAGCAATGGTTCTCCACTGCGTTGGCATAAGTTTGGCCAAATGAAGGAGCTTCTCCTCTTCTTCCCGGCTCCATTCCGTCTTCTTGATACTAGGATCCAACCACTCATACCAACGGGCCTTGCATTGTTTGGCTGACTTCCGATGCAACAATGATGCAATCCGAGACCACTGGTTTTTGCCATATTTCATAACAGCTGCTTTGAGGATTTCATCCTGCAATAGTAAGAACAAAGATTATCAAATTGATAGGTCAAGACTTAAATAGTCTATATAGAAATAAGTCTACAGGAGAGGAATATGAAATAGAAGGTGCATTTAATAAGTACTAATTGCTATTAGTTTTCTGAAAGCTATCAATATGACATCATTTAACTTTAGTTCATATTTCAGAATTATCCTTATACATAGCACCATGCACATACAGGGCCAGATTAAGGGAGGGGCAAAGGGGGCAGTTGCCCCAGGCCCCACTCTTCCAGGGGGCCCCCGAAGGAAATTAAAAATATTAAGCAGAAAGAAAAAAAAAGTACTGTATTTGCGAAAAGTAGTGGAGGAGGGCCCAAGAATTCACTTGCCCCGGGCCTCGTAACTTCTTAATCCGGCCCTGTGCACATAGCATCTTCACATCTTATGGAAAGTAGCAGCAAATATTTATTCCAGGTATATTCACAGTACTGGGAAATCACTGAACTCATAGCAGCCTCATGATAAAATGAACATCTACAGTTTCTGAATTATTACTGTCATAGTGTAGAGGCCTGCATACAAAACACTTGTATTCTATAACAACTCTGGGGATTTGGTTCTGAAACAGTTTCTTTTCATTACTACTTCAATTAGGCAATGTAATATCCTGAAAAATAAAAGGAAAACAGATAGGCTTAAGCCTATCATAACACAAGACCTATAGGTCTAGTCATAGGTTATTCCAACCATAAACTGACCTCAGTGTTCCGCCACACTCCACCTTTGATGAAGACACGTGGCATTTTTTAGATTCACTGATCAAATTCAAGATATGTATGGACAATGAATTGAAGAACTTTTCCCTCTGCTTAGCAGTGTTGCAAGGCTCCACCAAGCAACAGACCTTGAGGACAAGAAGAACATACACCTTTAATTATGTATATGGCATCAGAAAGACTAACATTAGGCAAGGCTACTTTTAGCCTAAAAATTATTTGCCTACAATATTTTTTTTACTCTCCAAGAGTTGAAGGGGTAGCATTTTTATTTATTCCTGTGAGAGTTAGTTTCAGCCTAAAGTGTCCTTGACACCAGGCATGTGGCCCAGCACCATCATGATCCAAGGATAGGAAATGGTGGGGTTAGGTTCTTTTGTATTACTCCCTAGAGGAGAATAATTAAAAACTTCCTTATGCCAAAGAAGCTCCTTAATCACACCCATTATACCAAAATTAAAAAAGCAGATATAAAGAAATAAAATACCAGCCTAAGGATACATCTAACTCTCATTTTTACCTCACTATTCTGAACTTGACAATGTACTCACAAAGATCAAACTGAATTCAGAACTGGAAAAACCATCATCCCTTGAAGAACGAAGAGAAAAACCATATTATGATGAGCTTGCTTACAATAATAGATTCAATTCAAAAAGCTAATCCTTCATCCTTAGTCAAATGCCTGTATCCATAGATGAAATGTATCAGCACATAGTGATTTAATAATTTCATGGCCACTAATACTTCAAATTTGTTTTTTTTAAGGGAATACTGAAGCCAATGAAGCTAAAATTCCCCCCAGTCATGCATACAGGGTAGACTAAAAGGGCTATTGCATATCTTGTTAACACCATGTACACTGTGAACAACACCCCCCCCCCCTCTAAAACTTAGTCTTGGCCTTGTGAACACCAAGATGGTAGCATTACTAAGTTTGAGTGCATGGGTAATTAGATAGTCCATAATTCATCATATCAATTTAGCTTATGTCCAGCTAACTGAAACTAAAGCTCTGACTAAAGTTGAATCAAATTATTGACAAAAAGAGTTCCCTGAGCCCCCACTAGTGAAACATGGGAATGAACTGAAACAAGCAGGCCATTAACTGGGGATTGAAGTTACACAATGCCAGTTCCAGTTTAGCCCTTTCAGACCAAGCATCCATTTGTATGGACATTGTATTTTCATTGTGTTTATGGCAGTTTCTTGGGATTTTTGTGACTTTTCACCCCATATTACATTGGGCACAATTATGCATGCCTGAATTCCATCAGTGGCCTTCTCTCACCCGTCAGTTTTGTAATCTTCAGTTTTGTAATTACATGTATAAAATATATGGTATGATATGGTATACTTATACAAAACATAAAAACGCTGTATAGAATATAAAAGTTAAAGTAGAATAGCAAAAGAGCCCAAAATGCAAATAAGTATAGTATTCCGATTGCAGCCTTAATTAAGGTCTGAAAGGGTTAGATAGAGATCCCTAGAAAAAGTGCATAATACATGCGCTGCCAGTTTAACTCCAGCTAACTGGGATCCCATCAACTAGCCTAAAATTGCCGTTTATCTTTAGTTTTGAGAGCTCCCAAATGCAGTAAAAATATGAAAACCAACTAAATTGGAACACATGAAAGCACTGCTTGCATAACGTTAGGCCTACGATTACTGGTTACACTAGGTGTAATGGTTCACTCAGGTTTTCCACAGAAATCCTATATATGTAGCTCTGCAAATGTATCGGTTTAAAAATAAAACTATTCCAAGAGATTTTACTCTCAATTCGTACCACCTTCGGCACTGCCTATGATGCAATGGACGTTCAGTACAACACAAGCATTGATCCATGTTACAAGTGGCACAAGCTGAAATTGAGGTAGCTGTATTTGTGGGAAGATACGATACATCTCAAGAAACAAGGTAAGTCTAGCCATTTGTGGTTGCGAATATATTGCCCTTCTCGGCACCAGTGCTATTCCCCACTGGGTCACGCCATTTTTCTTCCGAGTCCGGCGGTTTGCCTTCGCAGGCTGCGGGCTCGTCCGACTGGACCTGAGACAGCTTCAGCCCAACATTTCTAAAATTCCTCCTCTGGCCAGGTCAGGTTGGACCATATTTGCATTGAACTGACGCCACGAAGCTGCATAGCACCTGTCTTTCCCCTTTCATGAGCACGAAATGGGAAAGCCAGTATTCAAGGTTTATGTGTTTGGTTTATTTTTCTTGATTTCTCTGGAAACAACCTCCCTTCCCAATAACACAAATATGTCTTGATGTCTTAATTTGGTCTTCACAAAGAGATAAGACGCCCTCAAGGCATCTTCACAAGACGTCTTGAACACCTGCAACATCTCCAAGATGTTTAGATGTATGCTTTTTTTTAATATGGAAAATGCATCATTCCTGTTATCATCACTGATCATGTAGAGAAAACAGAATAATTTCCTCCCTGAAGAGGAGCGATGAACCTTAGCCACACTTCATACAGTAATAGAAACATCCCAGCAAACAATTTGAAACACATGACGTTGAATCAACAGTGAATAAACGTTCGGAACGTTGATACAACGTTGGTCCAATGTAGCCTTGTTTGCTGGGATCTTAGCCGCAAATCTTTTGAACTAAGATGTATCTAAATCACCATCCCCATTCCCATGTGACTTCTTATAACTCCACTGCGAAAAGGCAAGGCTTCTAATACCGTCTTGTGTGCTGCTTTGACCATACCTAACAAAAGGGGCCTCTATTAGTAAGAGCCCATGGATAGAGATCATTATTTGAACCATGCACCCTCCATCCCCAAGGCCATAAGACCCGGAGTCTCCTCGAGCTGGAGTAACATTTTAATAAAATGACAAAGTATTTGAACGTAACCCCATATGTTGTGCTTTGAAAAAAATATTAGATATCACATGTAAAATACTGGGTACTTCCATCAAGGTGTGAATTGCCTCTGCGGCGAATTAGCTGCCATCTCGCATCAGTTGTGAGAACCTTGCTTATTAGAATTATTGCAAGTTGGCTCACTTCCAGCTCGAGCTATAAATCCATAACGTGATTTATTATATTTCAGATGAACTGTAAAGCATAAGTTCTTTTCTTCTTAGATGTTTATTTCTAAGAAGAAATAAACATCACTACAATTCGGAAGAAATCCGATAAGGGCATAACATACGAAACGAGCTGGACTCGAAAAGTATGTGGACGTTTACTTGTCATAATCTTGTAGAAAGGAATGAGCAGGAAATTTGCATTGCATCCCACTGATCGAAGATCTACTAATTCATCAGCTTTGTTACGAGATAAAGTAAGTCCTCCGAAGTATACATGATCATTTAAAAAATCAGATGTATCTCGAAGACAACTTCAGGATGAAAATGCGAATATTATTTTCTTCACCTTTGGTCGAAAATAAATATGGGCTCAAGTATTTGATAAAGAATCACACATCATCTGAATCAGCAAGCATTTGCATTTTTTTGTAGAAATTGGGCACATCGCAATAATGACTTCAAAGATGCTTCAAGATGTCGTTTCGAAGTCCACAATAAATAATTTGGAGACAAAGAAAATGAAAATGCTTGTAAGAATAGCTTCAGATGTATTTCTCTGATGGAAACCAATAGGTAATACCGGAAAAAGTTAAAATATATGAAAATTTGCAACTTTTTATGCCGAAGACGTGAAGACCAGATGAAGATGTTTTGAAGATTAACATGTGCTACTGGAGCATCCCCTTAACTTTGATTCACAGTACTTCCCAGGAGAAAATTCCTCCCCCTCTCCTCTGGGTCATACGAGGAAATAAAATATGAATAAAGAAAAAGTAAGATGAAACCTTCCCAAGGCAAAGAATGTGTGTGTGTGTGTGTGGAGGATGGGGGGAGGGGGGCGGGCAGCAAATGCCCCTCCTCCAGGGCCGTACCGAAGGGGCCGCGAGCGGTGCGCCCACACAGGGCGCAAATTAGCAGCCAAATCACGAAAAAAAAAATGAATTAAACTTTTTTTATTGGAAATTATCCTGAATTTAACTATATTAAACAAAGAAATCAATACGTATGTATTGTTGGTGCTAGGGAAGCTGGAGAGGTATGAAGGAGGGGGATGGCGCTGGATTGATGTCTCGCTCAGGTTGGGGGGAGGTGGGGCAGGATATCCCGCACAGGGCGCGAAATCTGATTACTTCCACTTTCGCCCCAGTGGGATCTCGCCCTCGCATTCCGATTGACAAAAATCACAAGATGTGATTTAATCTTTGATCTACACACGGTTGGGGCGAAAGTACACGGGGGCGACTTTCCACGCCTGATTTTCATGACTGATAGCCATATCTACCTCAATCTTTAAAAAGGGGAGGGAAGGTCAACTCCCAGTTTCACTATCCCTCCTTGTGTAAGACGGATTCTGATATATGCCCAGAAGAGCCGCTTAAACATTTTTGAACTCTTGGCTTTGATTTAGAAGAAAAAATCATACATGGAACCGCGGCTGGTCATGCTGGAGACTGTGGGTGCCAGGATAAGGAAGAAAAAGAAATAGAGGGACTGGAAGGCTTGGATTAACCATCTCCAGAATCTATTAATCTATTTCGGACAAACGAAATTGATCTTTAAAAAAAATGTCACAGCCCTATATTATGTAGTGTCATTTGATTAGACCATCTGTTCCTTCGGAAGCAGTTCGTTCAGATGCAAGATTTTTTTTTTAACTGTATGACCTTCTAATTTGTGCATTTTATACCATCATTATTTGACTGCAATATAAGATTCTTCATAAGTCTCGGGGGCGAAAGTCTACGGGGGCGTAAGTGGAAGACACCCGAAATCTCCTCGGTAAGGCTCTGCTCTCCTCCCCTCCTTTGTTTTCCTGCTAAATGCGCATCTCGGAAGTTATTTTAAAATGCAATTTGGAAAATCATGGTTTGCATAAATATTTTTCTTCCTAAATTTTTCCCATTCACATTCCCTCTCTGCTGAGTCAAGGTGGAGAAGCTGGATGTAAAGAGAGAGTGGTGGGGTCCTCATGTCACTTTTTACTTGAAATGCATGACACGCGTCTTTTTAGACTCTCTCATGTAGTAAAAGACTGAATTTAAGTAATCCCCCAGCTCAAGATGGCGCTGTATCCCGA